CACACACACACTGAAACACACACCCAGAGGCCTACAAACACACTGGTAAGGGATTTAATCAAATCTTCACAGTGATGTGGATGCTCCTCAAACAAATCATCTAATAAGATCATAGAAAGAAGAAAAAAATGTTGTTTGTAGACTCTTTTGCCATTTTGCCTTTATTTGATAGTAACAGTAGAGATAACAGAAATGAAGGAGAAAGAACGGGAACTGAACTGGGACACTGTCAAAAATCTTATAGCACATACATTGTACTGCAAATCCATATTGAACATCTGTGCACTTAACAATAGACCTGACTCAATAGCCATTTTTTACTTGTAGTAAACACAGGTGTTACTGAGAATAATAATACTGGCTCTGTTTTATTGTAATGTCCCAGTACACCATGATAATGTGATGGTGAACCATGATACACAATACCAATAGCCTGAAAGCATCTAAATGGAATTCAGCCATCATTCATTTTTATCATTTACACATGCTTTTTCTACTATGACATGTGAAAAAGGTCTATTGATGTGTCTGATTAGACATAGTCAGGTAGAAGTAGGGAGAATAATGTAATGTTACAAAGCTCTACTAATAACAAGGAAAGTTACCCTGACAGGTAACTAACATGAGAGCGAGCAAGATTGCACACTCACATTTCCTGTGCAGTGTACATCTAGCCTCAATCTACAATATGGCCATTACCTATTTCTTATCATCATAATACAATGTATAATTCAATATGTAAAATTATGTTTAAAATGAGCTTTGTGTATTAAGTAATTATTTTTCAAATATTTCATTCAATCATTGGTCCATTACATTCTGGTGCAAATTTCATTGTACAATATGTATACACGTAAAACTTTATTTGAATTTTAGCTAGTTCAGTTCCGTTAGTAGGTTTCTGATTCTGATTCTTCTGCTCTATGTTTTACAGTATTACTCTGCGTTTGTATAAATAATCCAGTCTCTGTATCAGATTTTGTAAAATGCCATCTTATCGTATCTGATCCTATCATTTTATCTATAAAGTGTCATCATATAAAGAGGCACTGAAGGATTTACTGAAGGAAATGTCAGGATCTAAGAGAAGCTTTTTCCTTTATCGGGATAACTGCAGTGCTGAATTGTGAGATTAAGTTCAATAAAAAAGACCAGAGTATTCTCTCCATTTTCCTTTATAATATTTATTCTTAAAAATGAGTAAGCAGACAGTTCATGTGTCCTGTGAATACCAAAATGTGTGTAGAACAGTACAGAACAGTAAAACCACTTTCATTATATTTCTATAACAAGATCTTTTGAGCGACATATCAAAAGTCAAAACAAAGGACGTATTCTTTTTAATACAGCAATTCTTTTAAAACATCTTTCATCTCAAGAAATAGACCACAGATTTCTAGAAAGAGATGTAAAAATATACATCAACATGATCAGTGTTAAACAGCAGACTATTATTTTCTGATGCACACGACTATTAGCTTTGCACAAACATCAGTGAGGAGGTGATAATGTCATAATGCAACCACACCAGAGGGACCAATCACATGTTTAAGAGGATGTCACAGCTTAGACAGGAGGGGCTTCAGTCACTAATCACTTCCTCAATTTCCCTCATTACTTACTCGATCACGCACTTCCTCAGCTCATCAGTTCCTTATTTCTTCCCCTGCTTTCTTTGCCTCCTCCTGAAAAACTGTAAAGAGAGAAATTTGAGTTTCATCCCCTCAGATGCATTCCTCTGATTGCATTTTCATCAGGAAACAAGGACAGAGGGAAGAAAGGAAGGGAAGTGAGAAAGTCGGACAGAGCTCATTCAAGTGCTGATTGGATGAGGCTGTAATGGACTGAGATTGATCTGAACAATGAGACCAGCTCACTGACTCTTACCACAATTAAATGGATGACAGGGGCAGACTGTGCTTTCACCCTTGCAGTGGCTCAGACAGCAAAATTAAATGATCTATTTTCTTTAGTGAGGTTTAATGCTTTACAATGTCAGAAGAAAGGTCACAGAAACACTAATCAATAGCGAGACTATCGCAGATGCATAAGTCTGTGACGAAAAATACAAAGCATTCAGCAGCATCACGGTTTTATGTGTGTCATTGCTCAAGCCCCCCCCCCCCC